CGAGGTTCAAGGGCTGAAAAAATCACTCATGTTTGGCACAGCTAGTCGTAGGAGGTTGGGGTCAATTTTCCTTGTTATTAATTGGTTATAATTTACTTGCGAGGAATTTATAGGGAAATCCTGAGAGGTATTGTGACTTGCTTAATTTATTTAATAATAAATGTTTCACTTTTAGACTAAGCATGACATTTTAATTAATGTGAGAAATAGTTATTATATGGCTATATACTAGTTTGTCACAAGTAACAATTCGATGAGGAAGAGTCATCATGAGGTAAGCATTTTGAGGAGCGTCGATGAATACACTGCGGTACGTACAGACTGCGAAAACGTTTCCATAATTTGTAGTGAAGTGGCTACATAATCAAAAGAAGTTCGAATCATTGATTTTTCCAGTGTTACCTGATGAACCGTTTCCAAATAGAATGATTTAAGAGTAAATTGTCCAAATGGAAAAGGTAAAAGAGCTCCTTCTTTTACCTTATGAGTCCCCCTCAGAAGGTAGAGACAGGAAAAGGAACGCGGAAGCATCAAGGACTGTCTCACTAGACTTACAAGAGCAAGAAGCCTTTCCCCAGCGTGCGATTGGGCATGAACGCATGACAGACACACGGCTGCTCCTTGCATCTGGGATGCATCTGCAGCGCTGCCCCCGTCCATTCCCCGATGCCTGAATGGGAAGGAGCCGTCCTTTATACTGGAACCGGCGACGCTTGAAAGTAAAATCTGACCTACTAGGAGTGCTGATGTCCATCGGATCCATCGTCTGAAGGACGGTTAGGTTGGTATCTTCGTCTCTCAATTCGATCTTCCTGAACAAATCAGAGGCCTTTCTCGTACAATTCCGCAGCACCCCCATTAATCCCTGATGAAAACGAATAAATGTGACGTTGAATTCGGAGCTGGTCTTGGAATGACACTGAAAGATATTCGATTTGATTTAACCTCTGATTTGTTGAAGGCTCGATTAATGTCGATCTTCGTTCCATCTACACTCCCATTGAAGACATTCATGTCGGAGAGGATAGACGGATCCCGATCAGTGCAAATAACGATCTGTGGGAGTTCTAGTTCCTTCATTTGCTGTACCCTGTACTTAGTGCTTGTGGGTATTCCAAGGTATTTGTCCGCATAGCTCACCACCTGCAAGATGAATGCAAGAATGAACTTTTCTTTTCCGAAACTATGAGAAAAAATAGCCTACTTGTGGAAAGTAGCGGTTAAAATAGATGAAAACACTAGGTTTTCATGAGGTCAGGCCGTTACAACTACTGAGAAGGCAATGCACTTAGAAAAGTTTCGTTCACAGTGGTATGGATTTAAAATTATTTATTTGATCACATGATATTTCCGGAAGTGACCTTCTTTTCCTATCGTAAAGTAGTCTGGACTTGCTGCCTCTCCCGCTCTCGTCACGGCGTTTGCTAGGTAGCCTCTCTCTGCGCTTCTGTGGAGCCAGCGAAAAGGAGGCCTTCCTTCATAGGGCCCATGCTAGGAGTGTCATCCACAGACGGAGGAGGGTTCCCCACTGTTCGACTTGGTGGACGGGCGTCCCGGAAATACTCGATGAGGGTTAGTGGAGGGAAAACGGAATCTCTCTTCCTTCGAGTGCCTTCGTTCATTATTAAATTCCCTTTACCATGTTAATCGGTGCTTTCCTCGAGAGGGAGCTGTCTTCATTGAACGAGAAATCGTTGAAGGACATCATTTAAGCCTGAAGTACCCATTCCCGTCCAATTTTCTGGAGAAATAATGATGTTTTTATTACTGTTCCTAACGAGGAAAATTTCATAAAAAATTGATGAACTCCTTCGAGGGTTCTTCAGTCAGAATGGAAAAACTCATTTCCCAGCTCTTAAGAAGAGGGAAGGACAATAAGTACTTACGGTAACACTGACCGATGGTGCGCGATTGCTGATGCGCGACACTGTAACGTCGATTACGGCATTCAGAAGTAAGATTATGAACGGTTTCGCGAAGCTCTTAAGAAGAGGGAAGGACAATAAGTACTTACGGTTACACTGACCGATGGTGCGCGATTGCTGATGCGCGACACTGTAACGTCGATTACGGCATTCAGAAGTAAGATTATGAACGGTTTCGCGGTAGCGAAAGGAGTTACTTCTGGCGAACGTGCATCGAGCGGCGTCCACGACCGGTCCGAAGGGCGTCAACCGACCGGGCAGCTTCAGGAGGAGGGGAGGCACCAGTGGGAATGTGAAGCTCTGTGAGTCTCTTTGTCGTCTTTATGGCATCGATTCTCGCTTCGTTTGGTGGCGGGGTGCTGGGGCGGACGTGGAAGTCGGGAATGGAGTTGGCGATAGGTGCACTTTCGCCGGAAACGTTCTGAAAACGGTAGAAGTTATTAGAAAACACGTCTCTCCATTCCTCAAAACTGGCAATGCCTAACTCCGTCCGTGTGAATTTATTTATTTGTTATCATCGTATGCAAATCCCATTTCTTTCCTGCCTCGTTTGCAAAAAGAGAACACTTGACAGCAACATCTCCATTGCTCCGACAGGTGATCGTTGAGCCTGTTGCGTATGAAAATCCTGGTCGAATTTTCCAGCCGTTGACGCTTCATTGGTAGTTACTCAGGGACTGAGACTTATTGACTGAAGGATTCATCATTGGCAATTACGTTTACACGGTCCATTGGGATATGTAGAACAAGGGTTCCTTTTAACTTTGGCAGAGGAAAGACTTAAAATTTTGACTAGAGTGTATATTGGCATGATACTGATTTGTAGAGTCACGTAAAATCCGTAAGAACTACGTGAAGACCTGCACAGGGAATCGATGAGACAATTTTCCATTTTCAAACCCATGACCGTGTCAAAGAGACAGAAAATCTGTGAAAAAAAAAGTCTGGAACGTGGATAAGTTTTGCTCGATATGCTCGAATCCTACGTGCACAACTTGGCCCAACGCTCCGTCCGCCGATGGGCCCATAGGGCCTGGACAGGTCTTTGCGATGTCGACTTCCGCTCCTCCATTCGGTCGATTTAGGTGGAACGTAGGTTGATGCCATTGGCCGTAGGGATTGGGTGTACCATGTATGTTTCTTTAAAATGAGACATTCAAAGCTTATTGGTATCTAATGAAATATGTACTAAGTATCAGGTTGTAACATATATTTTACCGATTTATTTTATATTTCAATTTGAAAATTCAATAACATTAAATGAAAAATTAATCTTCAATGTAATTCCCTTCTCTGTCTATAATCTCCTTCCACCTGTTCATAAGTTTTTCGATGCCACGTATAATGAATTCCCTGGGTTTCGAATTAAAAAATGATGACACTTCATTTTTGGCAGCTTCCCGGGAATGCAGTTCCTTTCCCTTCCAGATGATTTTGCAGACTTCTGAATCGATGGTAGTCTGAAGGTGCTATTTCCGGGGAATGAGCTGGGTGAGGCATTTTTTCCTAGCCAAATTCCTCCAGTTGTGGCGGAGGTGATTCGCGCGGTGTGAGGGCGCGCGTTGTTCGGGTGGAACGAAACACCTCTGCGATTGATTAATCCAGGAAGTTTTCGTTTTTTTATGCTGTCTTCAATCGTTGGAGCTGTTGACAGTAGACTTCTGCCGTGATGGTTTGGTTCGCTTTCAACAGCTCAAAATGAATGATTCCTTGCACACACCACCAAACACATCGCAAAATTTTCATTGGATGGAGCCCATCTCTTGGTTGTGGCTGAGGCTTATCTTCAGGGCTAAGCCACTGATGGCGACGCTTAATGTTGCTGTAAAGGACCCACTTTTCGTCCCCAGTGACGATCCGATCCAAAAACGATGCCTGGAGTTGACGAGAATGCAGTGATGTGGAGATGTCAATTCGGTATTGAAGATTTGCTGTTGACAAATCATGCGGAATCCATTTTCCAAGCTTCACCACTTTTCCCAACCGTTTTAAATGACGATGAATGGTCATATTGCTCACATTGAGTTTTAGGCCAATTTGTATTACTGTTACAGGAGGGTTTTCCTCGACTGTAGCCTTCAGCAACTCATCACCCAACTCATTTGTTCGCGGTTCATCTTTTAGGTAAAAAGTTTCCACTTCTCAACTTCTCGAACCATCTCCCACGCAACCATTCATTCATAACTTCCAAAACTCGTACAGCATCACATGTCGAATATGTCACTTTCATCTTTTTTTTATTCAATATAAATGAAAAGGCGCGATGTAAACTCATAAAAATTCGCTGAAAAACTTATCATTAGAATGGAAAAAAAACATCATAAGACATCATACACCGCACGTGCACTGTTTCGCGATAAAACATGTCGCGAACCTATCGATGGGTGCATCATGCAAAATATGAGTTACAACCTGATACTTGGCAAGGACGCCCCTTTCCTTCATTGGCCCTCTTGACATGCCCGGAGCGGTCGCATAATTTCATTATGCACGTCATATTCAATATCCATTGATAAAATTCGTAATCGTTCTTAAGAGGAAAATTTTCAGGCATCCAGCATCTATCTAGCAGAATCGATCAGAGTGCAAGAGAGGGCTGTACCTTCTCTTCGTAGGGAGGAGCTGCTGTGTCCGCCTATGCTTCCTGAGTCTCCTAGGGCCTAGCTCCCCTCGCAAGACCGAGCAGGGAACCTAGGAGCAGCAGGAGCGGCGAGACCCGGACTCAGGCGTTCAGGTAAGAAGGGGCAAAGGGAGGAACAGCGTGTGTGAGTGGGCACGAACGGGGTGCTTCTTCGAAGTTTCAAGTTTCGTTGAGTGTGGAGGGCTGAGAAATAAATTTTAAACTCTTAATCGATTTATAAGGGAACTATTACCATTAATATGCTTTAAATTCAGCAAAGTAATGGTAGTTGTGAAACCGAGGAAAATATGTTCTGGTATTTATGTATGAAAAGTATTACTACGCCCAAATAATGCTTCTGCCTTTAATTGCCTACATTTTTAATATAAATTCCAAGGCCCATGTAAGCATCCATCAAAGCTAGACCAATTGATCTGAGTTCGCTCTCGTCGCAAATGAAGGTGGTGAATTACGTGGAGAAGTATCTGGAAAAGCCAACGACGACCCATTACACGATTCGGGAACGGGAGGACTGGGAACTGCCTCAACTGATCTTCTGTCAGGATCCTCCGTTCCATTCCGAGAGGACGATGGATTCCCAAGGCGGCTTCGCGATATATTACGAACTTGGGAATGTGTTCCTCGACTTTCAGGGCATCTACGAAAACGGACGCGTTCGTGAATACGTTCCCCTTCTTTTCCTCTTTCCTCCATCGGCGATTCGAATGAATGACATTTCTGCAGAACTTGACGGAGTTCATGGAAAACGCGACGGCGAAGGGGAGCGAGATCTTCGCGAGCATCAAATTCGGGAACTCGGACGAGGAGAAAATGCGACGAGTCGATGGGGAAGGGGGACCTCTCGACGTCGAAACGCCCGGTACATTCCTGATAATATTTTCTTAGTGATTTCGTGGCTGTTGAAACATTTTCTCCCGCTGGCGTCATTCGCGCTCTCCTGGATTTCAATGAAATGATTATTTTTCCATAAAAATCGTGATGTTTGTGTTCATTCTGCACTGAATTTCATGACTGTTTGATGATTTCAGATTCACAAATATACGAGGGGTGTACCGAAAGTAATAAGCGATAATTTTCTAGTGAAGGTCCACTATTCAGACAAGCTTGAGCTTTAATTCACACATAGTACTATGCTTCAGCAACTGATGGACACGGAATTTCATTGTTTTTGCCCAGGTTGCAGCATAGTAGCCATTTAAAATGACGCCTACTATAGATGGTTGTTTGAAAAAAAAAAGCTTACCTAAAGTTCCTCACAAAATAATATGTAACCTTTAAAATATGCATGTGCTGCTGCAGAATGTGTACGGTGAGTCTAGCAACAGTTATGTCAGCGTAAAACGGTTGGTTCTGCATTTCAACAGTGGAAAAAATGACATCGAAGACAACCAACGTTCAGACAGGCCATCAAGCGCTGGCACCTGCCAGCAAAACGCATGTGGATGAGCTGATCCGAAATAATCGTCGACTGACTGCTATTCGATAAATGATCATCATGCAATAATTAGGAAGGGAGGGCGTCGTGTAACACCAGTTTTGCTGTGCAGGCACCTGGGCATAAGCAATCAAATTCCCGATGTCCTTCAGTAGCTGAAATATTTTTTGTGCGTGAAGAAAATCTCAGGCTTGTCCGAATAGTGGCTCTCCACCCAATAAAATAGTGTTCATTACTTTCGGTACGACCCTCGTATTATCTGGCTTCAACTTTAATGCAGTCGGTTTAAAATGCAACATTTCCTCTAAAGCCGTCTTCTCCAATACGAAGAGATATTCCCGAATCGTTTGCCTGAAAACAGGAATCGGAAGATGGAAGTTGTCTACCATGCAAGGCGTGTCGAAAAAATTGAAATGGGATCTGCCCTTGTGCGGCCGACAGCCATGCGCCTGTCACACGTTGCACCTCGACGCCTCTTTCGGCAGGGGACCTCAAGAGGGAATCCGGTTCATTCTCAACGGAAGCAGCAATGACCTTTACTGGCGGAAGTACTACCGATACCGTCTCTTCTTCCTTGACCCACACGAGAAGGTTTGCACCGCACCTAGCACCTAAATATGAATGAACTCGTGTAGGAGCTTATGGTATATGCCGTATTTGGCTTCAGTTATCGAACATTGATGGGATTCCTTTCAACTTCGAAGAAGTGGAATTTGAACCTTTCCAAAAAGTCTTGAACGTTCAACTGAATCCGAAGATCGTGGAAAACGTGGATACGCCTAAGCACCGGTGTTCCCAGGATCCAGACCACAGCTTCGTCCGGGTCCGTCGAGGATCATTAATGTATTAAAATTAAAATTATGTAAATTCTCCCATTTTTCATTTGGATTTCTTCTCGTGCAGTGTACCGAGGAGTGCTTGCTAAAGAGACTGAACGTGACCTGCACAGGTCCCTGGATGGGAGTGAACTCCACCTGTCGCACTTTCGAGGAATTTCAGATGTTTACAGAGGAGTACACGAATTTGGTCCTGTTGAATCCCGAAGAGTACGAGTCTCTGGGATGCAGGTGCCTCGAACGATGTCGAATGTCCCGGTATCGGCCCACTATTTCGAGGAGCCAGATACAGCCCAAGGAAAAATATCTCAACTCCTTCCTCGTGAACGTCTACTTGGCCAACNGCACGAACGGGGTGCTTCTTCGAAGTTTCAAGTTTCGTTGAGTGTGGAGGGCTGAGAAATAAATTTTAAACTCTTAATCGATTTATAAGGGAACTATTACCATTAATATGCTTTAAATTCAGCAAAGTAATGGTAGTTGTGAAACCGAGGAAAATATGTTCTGGTATTTATGTATGAAAAGTATTACTACGCTCACATAATGCTTCTGCCTTTAATTGCCTACATTTTTAATATAAATTCCAAGGCCCATGTAAGCATCCATCAAAGCTAGACCAATTGATCTGAGTTCGCTCTCGTCGCAAATGAAGGTGGTGAATTACGTGGAGAAGTATCTGGAAAAGCCAACGACGACCCATTACATGATTCGGGAACGGGAGGACTGGGAACTGCCTCAACTGATCTTCTGTCAGGATCCTCCGTTCCATTCCGAGAGGACGATGGATTCCCAAGGCGGCTTCGCGATATATTACGAACTTGGAAATGTGTTCCTCGACTTTCAGGGCATCTACGAAAACGGACGCGTTCGTGAACACGTTCCCTTTCTTTTCCTCTTTCCTCCATCGGCGATTCCAATGAATGAAATTTCTGCAGAACTTGACGGAGTTCATGGAAAACGCGACGGCGAAGGGGAGCGAGATCTTCGCGAGCATCAAATTCGGGAACTCGGACGAGGAGAAAATGCGACGAGTCGATGGGGAACGGGGACCTCTCGACATCGAAACGCCCGGTACATTTCTGATAATATTTTCTCAGTGATTTCGTGGCTGTTGAAAATTTTTCTCCCGCTGGCGTCATTCATGCTCTCCTAGATATTAGAGAAATGATTATTTTGCGTAAATATCGTGATGTTTGCGTTCATTCTGCACGTGAATTTCATCACAGTTTGATGAGTTCAGATTCACAAATAGACAAGGGGCGTACCGAAAGTAATAAGTGATAATTTTCTGGTCAATATCCACTATTCAGACAAGCTTGAGCTTTTAATTCACACAAAGTACAATGCTTCAGCAACTGATGGACACGGAATTTCATTGTTTTTGCCCAGGTGGCAGCAAAGTAGTCATTTAAAATGACGCCTACCATAGATGGTTGTTCGAATGAAAAAGCTTAGCTAGAGTTCCTCGCAAAATAATATGTAACCCTTAAAACATGACTGTGCTGCTGCAGAATGTATACGGTGAGTCTAGCAACAGTTATGCAGTGTAACATGGTTGGTTCTGCATTTCAACAGTGGAGAAAATGACATCGAAGACAACCCACGTTCAGGCAGGCCATCAAGCGCTGACACCTGCCAGCAAAACGCATGTGGATGAGCTGATCCGAAATGATCGTCGACTGACTGCTACTCGATAAATGATCGTCATGCGATAATCGGGAAGGGAGGGCGTCGTGTAACACCTGTTTTGCTGTCTAATATCGCAGCGCTGGATAGCCTGCCTGAACGTGGGTTGTCTTCGATGTCATTGCTTCCACTGCTGCAATGCTGGACCTACCTTTTCGTGCTGCCATAACTGTGGCTTGACTCACCATACACATTCTGCAGTCACACATGAATGTTTTCAGGGTTACAAATTCTTTTGCGAGGAACCATATTAGAGTTTTTTGCTTCGAACAATCATCCATAGCAGGCGTCATTTTAAATGGCTACTGTGCTGGCACCTAGGCATAAACAATGAAATTCCCGATGTCCTTCAGTAGCTGAAATATTTTTTGTGCGTGAATAAAATCTCAGACTTGTCCGAATAGTGGCTCTCCACCTAATAAAATAGTATTCATTACTTTAGGTACGACCCTCATATTATCTGGCTTCAATTTTAATGCAGTCCGTTTAAAATGCAACATTTCCTCTAAAGCCGTGTTCTCCAATACGAAGAGATATTCCCGAATCGTTTGCCTGAAAACAGGAATCGGAAGATGGAAGCTGTCTACCATGCAAGGCGTGTCGAAGAAATTGAAATGGGATCTGCCCTTGTGCGGCCGACAGCCATGCGCCTGTCACACGTTGCACCTCGACGCCTCATTCGGCAGGGGACCTCAAGAGGGAATCCGGTTCATTATCAATGGAAGCAGCAATGACCTTTACTGGCGGAAGTACTACCGATACCGTCTCTTCTTCCTTGACCCACACGAGAAGGTTTGCACCGCACCTAGCACCTAAATATGAATGAACTCGTGTAGGAGCTTATGGTATATGCTGTATTTGGCTTCAGTTATCGAACATTGATGGGATTCCTTTCAACTTCGAAGAGGTGGAATTTGAACCTTTCCAAAAAGTCTTGAACGTTCAACTGAATCCAAAGATCGTGAAAAACGTGGATACGCCTAAGCACCGGTGTTCCCAGGATCCAGAGCACAGCTTCGTCCGGGTCCGTCGAGGATCATTAATATATTAAAATTAAAATTATGTTAATTTTTCCCTTTTTCATTTGGATTTCTTCTCGTGCAGTGTACCGAGGAGTGCTTGCTAAAGAGACTGAACGTGACCTGCACAGGTCCCTGGATGGGAATGAACTCCACCTGTCGCACTTTCGAGGAATTTCAGATGTTTACAGAGGAGTACACGAATTTGGTCCTGTTGAATCCCGAAGAGTACGAGTCTCTGGGATGCAGGTGCCTCGAACGATGTCGGATGTCCCGGTATCGGCCCACTATTTCGAGGAGCCAGATACAGCCCAAGGAAAAATATCTCAACTCCTTCCTCGTGAACGTCTACTTGGCCAACGTGGAGGAGGAGGTGTGGGAGGAGCAGGAATCCTACGACATCCTGGAGATGCTGGGGGAACTCGGAGGATTCCTGGGGATGATCTTTGGACTCAGTCTGCTCTCACTGTACGAGATCCTGGAAGAGACTTTCGTCAAGATCTGGCGATGGAGGAAGGCTGGGCTGTGGAGGGGTTCCATGGAGGAAAGGGGACGAACCGGACTTCGTATCTACCTTTGGCTCTCCGTCATATTCATCACCTTCGGGCTCTCCGCCAGCGAGGTATTTTTTCGCCCATCTGGTCCACAGGAAGAGGAAAGGGCGATTTCTGCTTCGGCTTGCAAAGCGTTTTTAATTCTAATTCCCATCATGGACAGAAAACATGTATAGCACCCTGCATTTAGTTCGTTCTTTCCTTCCCCATTACGAAAAAAATAAATAAATATCCCTGTCTACATAGAATTATCGAAGTTTCCATCGTCCATGCAGACTTCATGTATAAATGTCCTCCAAATGATTCGCGTTGAGACGATGTAATACGAGAAAACACTCACCTGGCTCGCATACGATATGCTATTGCCCATTTGACGTTTACCCTATTACTAGCACACTTTCCTTTAAATTCAAGCATCTTCAATGGAATGTGTTTGTGCCAGGCTCCGTACCGAGTCCAAGATCAAACGAAGTGTCTGCGTCTCGTGCATCCAGCTGTTTTTCGTCTCTTTAGGTTGTGCTGTACGTGCAAAAATATCTGGACGGACCGACTGACACCCTGTATTCAATCGTGGAGGAGGAAAACCTTTCTCTTCCTCGGATCACATTCTGCTCCGACCCCTTTTACGACGTCGAGGCTTTCCTCTGGAGAAAAATGAAATACGATCTGAAAACGGTTCGCGTGAATCCCAACGACACCCTCCCTGCTCAGGTAGATGGGAACTCTAGCAGGACTTCAGAACAGGGAGCTTTTCGGTCGTGTGAAAACAGATTAACCCAGTCGGGTATTCTCATTTGACAGGATGAGGAAGACTTGGAGAAGATCCTGGAAGACATGTCCATCAGCGCCTGGCAGGTTGCGAGTCAATATAAGATCGGTCGATCTGGAATTCTGTTCTTCCAGAAGAATTTAAATGCTTCTGGCCTCAGCGACATCTCGTCAACAGGTGAATGAATTGAACCCCTTTAAAAGCATACGGAATAATGCAATAGTCACGATCACCGTCATCATCACGGAAAGGAAAAGCGAGAGTCATCTGATTCTGACGCAATCTCGCAGACATGGGAGACTGGAGTACAACGATTCTATTGACACGCGGGGGCAAGTACCAGCCGGGGGCGTGCCACGTCTTCACGCCGAAAGCGACGTTGCCCAAGGGCAAATACGAGGCCCTCCGCATCAGAGTCAGCGGGACGCAAAGAATAAGGAGATTTAGCCAAAATGAATCTGGGAGCTGGAATCCCCCTCTCGTCTACACCGTCTACCGAAAGCGACGTTGCCCAAGGGCAAATACGAGGCCCTCCGCATCAGAGTCAGCGGGACGCAAAGAATAAGGAGATATAGCCAAAATGAATCTGGGAGCTGGAATCCCCCTCTCGTCTACACCGTCTGCTTCACCGACCAGGTCGAAAAGGTACGCGATGAGAGAAAACATGGTCGTGCGGTACTGATGTACTGTACAATATATGTAGATGTGAATGAGTGAGCGGATGACGTTTTTACCAAGAATGCCTTTTTTTTATTACTTGTTTTGAGGATTTCGGGGAAAATATGCTGTTAGTGTCGTGAGCTAGCAATAAATCCTACATTCAATTTTCTTTCCTATATTCGCAGAATGCAAAATACAATTGAAATGCATTTAATTAGGTTTCATACGACATTACATTTTTACATTAAAATTGACTAAAATTTTTATTTATCGCTCCGGAGAATCGAACTGGTAAAGAAAGTCCAAACTTAGCATGCCAGTACCAGTTGAAGAGCTCATATGAGGGATAATCCTAATTAGTCATTCCACGCCGATTCGACCATAGCTGAAGCTTGACCATCTCGGATTTGAGCACAAATTGGTATACACGTAGAAGAATCGATTTAAAGTGTTCCTTTCCAAGTTTTTCTATACGTTGTACAGATCTTCATATATATTTATCGGAATGCGACCGATTTTTTTATTTTGATTTTTTTTACTTTTGCATCGTTAGAAAGGGCAAGGTGTGTAATTTTAAATGAATTATTTTAGCTGGAACTTCGTGGAGAGACATGTGCATATGGCTGTCACTGAATTCAGTCAAACTGTTGGAAGAAGGGAATTTTCGGCACTACGTCTGCAGTCAAATGTTCACATCTCGCCAAAGCATCGAGTACTAATTTCGAATTTAATGTCATTTGAAACGGCATACCTTGTTAATTGTGTGAACCGTCGCAACTTGTGCCGAGCGCAGTTACTCTGCAATGTGTTAAATCCCGTCCAATTCATTGTATCAAGCCAAGACAATCAGAATTCAATTACTAGTCTGGTAAACAGGGTCAGATTAATCCATATAATAAAATCCACTGTGGTCCGTGGCATGCGCGCGCACGCATGAAACGCGAGCGCTCAGCGCGATCGCATGTGCTCTCCCCATAGAATGTTCTAGCCTCCCTCTGGTTGTACGTCTCCCTCTCTCGGCTCCCATGTTTTTTTTCCTGCAGTTGCGACAGTCGGATATATTCTCGAGAACGTTTTTTTTACCATATTTTTTACCGTGTTTTAACGTATTAGGTATGAAAGTACCTATCAAAATAGGCCTTTCGATGGATACATGAAAATTGTCCTTGCATACGGGTGACTGCCATAGCTTCTTTTGTGGACATCTTTGAACTAATTGAGATAACAGGAGATTTGCAAGTGCAAAGTCCCGAATATCAGGAATCGTTCCTATCATTTTACATGTTACGATAATGAGGAGTTTTTACAGTGTNCTCTTCCTCGGATCACATTCTGCTCCGACCCCTTTTACGACGTCGAGGCTTTCCTCTGGAGAAAAATGAAATACGATCTGAAAACGGTTCGCGTGAATCCCAACGACACCCTCCCTGCTCAGGTAGATGGGAACTCTAGCAGGACTTCAGAACAGGGAGCTTTTCGGTCGTGTGAAAACAGATTAACCCAGTCGGGTATTCTCATTTGACAGGATGAGGAAGACTTGGAGAAGATCCTGGAAGACATGTCCATCAGCGCCTGGCAGGTTGCGAGTCAATATAAGATCGGTCGATCTGGAATTCTGTTCTTCCAGAAGAATTTAAATGCTTCTGGCCTCAGCGACATCTCGTCAACAGGTGAATGAATTGAACCCCTTTAAAAGCATGCGGAATAATGCAATAGTCACGATCACCGTCATCATCACGGAAAGGAAAAGCGAGAGTCATCTGATTCTGACGCAATCTCGCAGACATGGGAGACTGGAGCACAACGATTCTATTGACCCGCGGGGGCGAGTACCAGCCGGGGGCGTGCCACGTCTTCACGCCGAAAGCGACGTTGCCCAAGGGCAAATACGAGGCCCTCCGCATCAGAGTCAGCGGGACGCAAAGAATAAGGAGATATAGCCAAAATGAATCTGGGAGCTGGAATCCCCCTCTCGTCTACACCGTCTACTTCACCGACCAGGTCGAAAAGGTACGAGTTGAGAGAAACCGTGGTCGTGCGGTACTGATGTACAATATACGTAGATGTGAATGAGCGGATGACGTTTTTACCGAAAATGCTTTTTTTTATTACGTGCTTTGAGGATTTCGGGGAAAATATGCTGTTAGTGTCGTGAGCTAGTAATAAATCCTACATTCAATTTTCTTTCCTATATTCGCTGAATGCACAATACAATTTGATTGCATTAAATTAGGTTTTCTACGACATTACATTTTTACACTAAAATTGACTAAAATTTTTATTTATCGCTCCGGAGAATCGAACTGGCAAAGAAAGTCCAAACTTAGCATGCCAGTACCAGTTGAAGAGCTCATATGAGGGATAATCCTATATAGTCATTCCACGCCGATTCGACCATAGCCGAAGCTTGACCATCTCGGATTTGAGCACAAATTGGTATACACGTAGAAGAATCGATTTAAAGGATTCCTTTCCAAGTTGTTCTATACGTTGTACAGATCTTCATATATATTTATCGGAATGCGACTGATTTTTTTATTTTGCTTTTTTTTACTTTTGCATCGTTAGAAAGGGCAAGGTGTGTAATTTTAAAATTCCTTTCCAAGTTTTTCTATACGTTGTACAGATCTTCATATATATTTATCGGAATGCGACCGATTTTTTTATTTTGATTTTTTTTACTTTTGCATCGTTAGAAAGGGCAAGGTGTGTAATTTTAAATGAATTATTTTAGCTGGAACTTCGTGGAGAGACATGTGCATATGGCTGTCACTGAATTCAGTCAAACTGTTGGAAGAAGGGAATTTTCGGCACTACGTCTGCAGTCAAATGTTCACATCTCGCCAAAGCATCGAGTACTAATTTCGAATTTAATGTCATTTGAAACGGCATACCTTGTTAATTGTGTGAACCGTCGCAACTTGTGCCGAGCGCAGTTACTCTGCAATGTGTTAAATCCCGTCCAATTCATTGTATCAAGCCAAGACAATCAGAATTCAATTACTAGTCTGGTAAACAGGGTCAGATTAATCTATATAATAAAATCCACTGTGGTCCGTGGCATGCGCGCGCACGCATGAAACGCGAGCGCTCAGCGCGATCGCATGTGCTCTCCCCATAGAATATTCTAGCCTCCCTCTGGTTGTACGTCTCCCTCTCTCGGCTCCCATGTTTTTTTCCTGCAGTTGCGACAGTCGGATATATTCTCGAGAACGTTTTTTTTACCATATTTTTTTACCGTGTTTTAACGTATTAGGTATGAAAGTACCTATCAAAATAGGCCTTTCGATGGATACATGAAAATTGTCCTTGCATACGGGTGACTGCCATAGCTTCTTTTGTGGACATCTTTGAACTAATTGAGATAACAGGAGATTTGCAAGTGCAAAGTCCCGAATATCAGGAATCGTTCCTATCATTTTACATGTTACGATAATGAGGAGTTTTTACAGTGTCTGTCACTTGAAATCGGCACTTATACATGAGGAACGTCCTATGCGCGAGTGTCAAATGAAAAATTGTCAAACTCAAGAAGAAACCACCGTACTACAACATATGCCACTCCAGGAACCCAAGAAACATCGAGGGGACTGCCTTACGCCAACGGATGGCACGAATCCGTCCGATCCAAATGAACCGGGACCAAGGAAAGGCTTGACTTACAAAACCATGAAGCGAATGCATAGTGGGACAGTGGGTGAGGATCCCCAGAGAACTGGGTTGTGAGGAGTAGGAAGGTGGGGTTTGCTAACCCCGACTTAATCTTCGAGTCATCAACCGACACGGGAGGATCAGTTTAGTCAGGGGCTACTTAACCCAGCGGAGAAGCTAACTTAGGGCAAACTTAGCCCTCCATTCATCAACCAACACTTTAAGCTTCAGAAAATAGTGTCCAATATTAAATTAAAGACGGCAATTTCATAATAAAATAACACCAGAATGAAGCTTGTGTTTAAACTAGAGAGGAAGTTATTGCATAAGCAGTTTCACAATTCAAGTCCGAATGAGCGCAATGAGCCAAAAGTAGGTCGCATTCAAATACATAAACCTGGTTATCTGTGCAAGAGGTAAACTATTTATGGTTTCTATAAAATTGATTCCTCTAGGTGTATATGCTGATTTTCGTCCAAATCCGAGATGGCGGATCTCACACCCTGGTCGTTTTGAGGTGGAATGACCCTATATTGCAGTTTTAATCGCTTAGATGGCGCCAACTCGAATAACTTTCCATGGTTCGTTTCATTTCATTTCTAAAACGGTAAATATGGGGGACACACACGAACGAGGACGAATGCCCACCTTCCCACGGATCCTGATATAGTTCCATTTCCACAGGAACGGGATGGCAACTTCAATGTTGGCTGCCTTCGACAGAAAATGTTTTACCATAAAGCAATTGAATTGTCAACGCAGGAGAAGGAGAATCCCTTGCCGCGTGTCGGATTCGAACCTGGATCTCCCGCATTCCCTCTTCATCGAGGCACGACTACGCGGTCCGAAGACAGCGTTGGTTTTGGAATGGCGTGAGGCGAGAGTGGAACGTGTTTATTTACCCCTACATGTTCCATTATTGCCTTCTTATTAAACGCAATACCGTGATCACGAGTTAGTCCTTCAGATATGAATGCTGTTACTTCTAGTCAAAAAGTTTTTCGTGTGCACTAGAAGCGTTCCAGCGATCCATTCTTCAAAGCCATCTGGCCGCATTGACATTATCTCGGAAAAAAAAACATTTTGGGGCATACCGACTGCATACTAACGTTTTCGAAGACGGAATGACATCGATTAGATAGTGACATTTCGGATGCCAGGTGACGGAGTTCCGGGGAATTCCGTCGACTGCAGAGTGTGTGGTGGTGAACGCGGAATACGAACAACAGGATATCCAACTTTGGCCCGCCCGCATCAAAACATTAGATAGTGACATTTCGGATGCCAGGTGACGGAGTTCCGGGGAATTCCGTCGACTGCAGAGTGTGTGGTGGTGAACGCGGAATACGAACAACAGGATATCCAACTTTGGCCCGCCCGGATCAAAACACTCAGCACCCGAAAGTCGCCGTGCACCCATGATCCCACCTACAGCCACGTTCAAGTATTAATGTATTTACTATAATCCATTTATCAGGGACAGTACAACTTTAAATTATACCATTCCAAATTTTTATTAGTGCATGGAAAATTGCTTGCTGTCGAGTCTGAAGTCCTCCTGTGTGGGTCCTTGGTTGAACGCGTCCAAGAAGCCCTTGTGCCGAAAAGCGGAGGAGTACACGCGTTTCATCCAAGAGTACGAGGACCTGATCGGGACGACGAATGCATCCAGATGCAATCTGAGATGTCCTCGGCGGTGCCAATCCGTTCGGTTCCGCCCCATCTTGGAGACGAACAACATCGGCAATAGTGAGAACATGCCCTCGGCATGGATCAATTTTTACTTTCCATCGATGGAGGTCGAGGTTCTGGAGGAGCAGTGGTCCTACGACATCCTGGAGATGCTTGGGGAACTGGGTGGAAGTCTGGGGATCATGCTCGGGTTCTCCCTTCTGTCCATCTACGACCTCTTAGAAGTGGCTCTTTTCAACATTCGCTCTTGCCGGAAGAAGAGAGTCCTTCCAAATCACTAGATTTCATTATGTTTTGTTTCCTGGTTCGTATGTATAATATTCAAAGGAGAACGTAACAGCATCAACAGAATAGTGTGCACCGAATCAACCGCCTGTTCCCTCATACAATTTTAACAACTATTGCATATTCTCACAATTGCACTGTCCGCGATATAGTCGCCTAGTATCCTCGAGAAATAAATTGAACACGAAGCACTCAAATCGGAAAGGAACTGTAATCCACCCGCCATTGAGCTTGCTATCAAGCGGATCTCGAGAGATTTCAGTTAGTAGCAAAGTACCTGATATAGGTGTTTTGGGGGGTTGTTTCGATGTGTTCTTCCACTTCATGGTTTTAAAAAATGTCACACAGACTTGATGTCTCGCAGTTGTAGTACCTCACAAAGTACTTAAGAACGTGTTTTAGATAGTTTTGACGTTTCCATCATATCCATATCGAAAACAGATAGAATTGAGATGATGCTCTCAAGGCATGACCAGATGAAGTGGGAGGGAGCGAATTGATGTTATCTCGGGCCCCATTTTTCCAGAAGGTCCCCCAAGGGAAATTAAAAACGTTACGTATTAACGTTAAGTGGGGGGGAAGGAGTTTGAGAAGTGGGAGGGGGGTGAAGGGGGGGGGGGTGAGGGACCAAGAATCCAATTACCCCGGTCCTCGCAATTTCTTCATCTGGACCTGCCCGAAAGTACTTCATGGCTTGCTATGTCATCTTGATCAGGATCCCATGTGCTTCAACATATTCAATTTTGGAATATCCTTCCCTTTTCCGAAACCGTCTAATGCGCAAAAGGCGTTGCATATGCTTGCCCATGCTCTTGCTGTGTCTCCTCTGTGGGAGGAATATGAAGTACGTTATTCCTTCTACAGGTAAAATAGAACTCCCTACAACAATACGACTGTCTACTACTATTATCTGGGGCAACTGGAGAATGGGGCTGGTATGTGTGTTCAGTTGTTCAGGTTATATTGCATATTTTAAAAAGAGGTTTCTGCTACCAGAATTTTCATATAAAAAAAAAGTTAAAATCTGAATATTAGTGCTATATCGACTGAGTCACACTGTCGCGCGAGGAGATCTGACCAATAAAATTCATTTACTTGCCTCTATTTCTCTCTGGGAGGATAGGGAGACGAGGAAATCGGCTGGTTTGGGCGAGTCGCCCCTTTTAAGAAGGTAACATTTCAGATGCATTTGTATGCCTCGCGATGTATGAACTTTCAGGTCATACCTGCAGCAGCCTTCTTTCTCTGCCTGGATCATACCAGGGCCAGTCTATAATCACTTTGTAACTCAACTTATATGATTTCTCGTTCTTTTCGCGTTCCCTGAGTGCTTTCATGCATTATTTTTGCTTCGTCGCAATCTTTGCCTTCTCCTCGCCTATTTTGCCGCCTTGGCGCCTGCCTCCGATCGATTTTGGCATGATCAGTAATACGTCATATGCAACATATAATCAATAACGCTTCAAAAATTGTCTATAGGAAAAGCTATGTTGGTCAGCATTCGAAACTATCTCGCAGGTTATGTGAATAAGGAAGACCCAGAGTTATGGGGATAGCGGAATTTTGTTAACAAAACTATTCGAGTGCGAGCCAATATATGATTTTCAGTTATCCCACCTGTAAATATGGATTTTTCATGACAACAATATCTTCCAGCATAACTGGTTTTGATGGGAATATGAAGTTAAGCAAAAAACGATATTCACAAAACAGGAAAATGATACATATCCTCCAGGCAGTAGCGAGAAACGGCGGAACTTTTAAAAACGAAAAAGTGTGCTATGTAAGATGTGATAATGTATTTGATCGAACCCGCCCAATATTTAATCATTTTCACCATTGCAACAGTAGCATTTATCAATTCGAACCACACCTAATCAAGAAACTTTATTATCTCATACGAATGCACCTTCAGATTCCTCGCAGTCTTGTTAGATCAGTCTTGTTAGAGTATAAAAGATGAATCTTTGAGCTTTCAGAAAAAAAAAGTCACTGGAATTTTTAAAGTTCATATTTTATGGTTTGGTTGAAATTTCCGAGAAGTGACCCTTTCGTCTATAGGTGATGGGAATCACAATACTATGTATTGGGTTGGAAAGAAAGTCTTGCAACACTCTGCGCAAATCAGGGTCTATCAAAAAGGAGGTATGGCGCTGTGAAAGCAAAGAGGTTCTCAGCCGTTTCCAGGATGGCTCATCGAGGGTCTGCGGCGTGCTCCTATGGACTACGGCGGCCAGGATCGCACCAAGGGAATAAAATGGGAAACCAAGCCGTTAAGTGATTAGGTTGATACTCAATTGATACATCAACCAATCAATCCATGATCCAGGAAGGTTGATCGGAAAGATGGACAAACAAGAGACGGTAAGAGATCTGGAATTTCTTATCCTGAAGGAAGAGGAATAAGGAGCTTGGGAAGCATCTGCTCCCGAGGAGTAAGCGGGTTCAAGTCGTGAATGGCTGCCTTCCACAGGGTACAGGAGCAGAGGCTCATCGTCCGCAATCGATGAGCGTTGTAAATAAGTGAGAGTGTAAACAGCCCCCCTCAGAAATATAGTAAGAGAGGGAGAACCTCACTCCACAGGCGCGTCTGATCTTAGGGAACCGGTCATCGTTTCTTGGCGCTTGGACGCCGAATTACTGGATGAAAATGTAAGCATGACTCTGTCTCTGTGGGTGTCAGAACGAAATGAAAAGAGAGGTGGCTGAGAACAAAAGACATCTAGAGGGTTGATAAGAAAGACCTCTCGATCGGGGTGAAGGGTGAGAGGTCAGGCGTGACACCTAGGAGGTCCGGCACATACTACGGTTTCCCTAGGACGGCTCACAGAGAGCTCTTCGTATATGGGGCAGCACTCCGGCCGGGCCACTCACCGCGTATCGTGCCGGCTGGGCCGTTACAATATGATTTTCCGGGGAAAGAAAGGTTCGAGAAAAATGTCCGCATGCACACGCACACAGACACACACACACACTCAACTCGATGAGAAAATCCCACTCAGTGATTGATATCCCAAGAAGATTTACTTGTTGGAAAATAAAAGATGCCCGCGAGAGACTTGTCGTCGCGCGTCGTCCAAATAAGTTACAAGCTACGAGGAAGAAAAGGCCGTTCAAGTGAAGATCGTCTCGTATGGGCCCGTTCCACGGCAGGGCGGCTACCACTGTGTCTCCCGCGTCCCCTGTGTTCCCTGAGGCCGCAGGGGCCCCCCGTAGAATCCAGGGGCTCCAATCCCAAAAGGAAGAAATAAATCAGTAATAAAGAAGGAAAAAATTGAAGAAATAAAACATATTAACTCTGCGAGTTTTTCCGACGGAGATCCAAGCTCTAAACGAGACGGAGAAAATTCATCTGTCTTCTTACTCTCGACAGGCCAATGCACGGAACATTTTATTTTAATTTTACTTTATTTGAATTTCTCCATCCTTCTCAAGCACGGAATGGGTGAGGCGAGGAGGACGTCTGCTTGGAAGGGTCTATCTCCTTTCCGTCCCTCTCCATCGCTTGTCTTGTCTTCCCCCTTGATCACCTTGCAAATTCATTACCGATTGCATCGATAAAGGTCGGCGCATTTGAATTCAGCGAAGTGTGGACGTATGGAAAGATGCACAAATATTACCAGTGTGCTTGTTCGTGCTGCTATGCCGCAAATACACGATGCCACCTTAAGCCAAAACGGCAATCGATTCTGTAAGAATGTGGCCAAATGCTTTTGACTTACGGAAAAGGGCCGTTTCAGCAGGTATTAAGCCTCATTAATTTCAAAATTTTCAACTACTTTATGTGGATGAAACAGTTTCTATATTAAGACCTGTTCGGCGTTTATACGCATGCCTTGTTGAGGTTCCTCCTTATTCGAGTGGCACCGTCGTTTTTAGTTGCTCGCTTCTGAACCGTCCACAGCGCCATTAAATGCATGTCATTCTCGGGCATAAACAATAGGAAACAATAGTATAAGTGGGACTTCACCGATGCTCTGTATAACTTAAAGATAACGCTCTGTTTATGCTGTGTCTAAAAGACATCAGGCCAAGTATGAATACAATGCAGTATTTCTTTCGTTGTGAAAGAACACTACAAGAGGCAGGGAGGCATACGTATGTTTGTATTAATCTCAATTGTTTATGAATATTAAATTGTGCGAGCGTGATGAGTCTCTTTGAGCGTCCAGCATTTGCTAAGTCAGGTGAGAAGTCATCCTTCAGGTTTTTAGTTTTTAGGTCGAAGAGTGCAGGGTTCACTTCTTGCGAAGTCGGGCTTTGGAGCAACAATCCTCCACGAGTTGAAAGAGAGAAACGAGAGAGACGCCGAGGAGCAATCCAAGGCAGCCACCCATCTCGCCGAGCATCTCGTTCATGTCGTAGGCGGGGACTTCTTCGAGGACATCCACTTCCGTCGCAGGGAAGAAGATTTTCAGAGTCACGACCGGGACGGCCTTCTTGTCTACACCCATCTTCTCCATGAAAGGTCGAAATTGAGTGAGCTGACACTTCCGGGGACATTTGCAGTCGAATTTCTTATACTCGGACATCTTCATCCTGACGAACGACCGGTATTCTTGAGAAAACTCTTCGTAGTCCTTCGCGTTCGAGCAGGTTGGCTTCGCCGTGTTCATCCAGGGACCTGAGCAGTTGGCTTTCATCCGAGAGAAGAAGCATTCCTCCATGGACTGGAAATGAAGGAAACAATGGCGACGAGTTCTACGCTGAAAAATAATAGTTCGGATGAGAACCCGGACAAGGAACATTCCTGAAGTGCGACGCTCCGATTTTGACCAACATTGGTACAAATGCAGTACATAATTACTAAATGTTGTAAATAAAATTTCACGTGTCCTCGTTACTTCCTTCAGACACAATAGAGAAACAACCACATCTAGTCCAACGTGGCGCATTCTGCAATGTATCGAGCTTCTTAACCTTAATGAAATAGGTGCACCGAAAATGCTCTGTTCGAGCAGTGAAATATCTTCGGCTGTACCTGAATGAAGCTGTAGGATGGGTCATCTGTGCAAGGGAATCGGGGCCTGCTGACTCTCTTCACGATCTTCGGATGAAGCTTCACGTTGACGAAGGTTTGAAGGGAGTCGAACTCTA